AAATGTTTGGGTCTCAAGTGCCAAAAGATTGCTTTTAGTCAGTTTATGATGTAGACTTTTTTTTAGTAACGAATAGTAATATTGCTGAATGTTGTTTTATTGTCTATTTCCACATAGAACAAACTGTGAACTCACTATAATTATATGAATAGACACTAAATAATTTTTTTTACAATGACTTATCATATAGAACTTGTCGCTAGAACTTCTGAAGTTATCTTACCGCATGATAACACACTGAAGAAAATATACGGTTCTCGTGAAGCAGCCCGATACTCGCCATTAAAGTAAATTATTATAACCCAAGTGGGCAGTTAGCTGGAGCTCACTTGCAACTAGCTTTAGCCTGGCCTGCCCTCTAATCGTTAGTGTTGAAGTACCTCTAGGATTTCTACTACGATTTATTATATTCTTGTTACTTTAGTGTGAGTAAATGTGAATTTGTGTGTGAGTAAATGGATTAGGTTATTGATTTGCCTGATAAATTCTAGAGATTGAATCTTTGTTTCTAGTACGCTGACTCGAAGGTGACACGGCGTCAGTAATAATATCTAGGGCTTGTTTAATTACATAAACACCTTTGCACTCATTCCACATCAACAGCTTATTAGTGGCCACTATTAAACAATGGCCTTTTCTCACACGGAGAAGGTTTGAGCATTAATTGCACCGCTTGATCAATGCGGGTTGGCAATTTCAAACTTATGATTAGGAATTATAAGCTTAGGTTTCCTTACGATGTTTTCTTTCGCCGTTTGTCAATGGTGTCTACATAATCATAGAAAGTACAATTAATATAAATTGGAAATGTCACATTACTACTTGCTGTTAGGTTGGCTGGTAGGTTTCGATACCCACACTCTCATGTATGAGTAGCGGGCATCGTAAACCTCCGGGTCACCACGACTCTTTTGCTCTTTCACTCATTGCAATGAGATAACTAATGCAAATTCAATGTATTATAAAGTCATACCTCTTTACATCTTAGAAAAATAAAACAGGTAGGTATGTAATTTCATGGTCGTTTTTCCTCAAAATCCAAGTTAATGTAGTCATATTATCGAAGATATGCAACTGGGCACAATTTCCACTTGGCTCCGCCCTCGCTTCGCTATCGCTGTACCAACCCTTACGCTTCAGTTGTTCGGGTTAATGGAAATAACTGATTTTAATGTGTAGATAAGGGCGCGGGGAAATGTGAGGGCCATTCACAACGGACCACGGTACTTGGCCGGTCCTTATGTTTCGATTTTTGGTTGCCACGTGATTCATAACGACTGGCGGTAGAGGTATTTAATACTTTGGTTTAGCTGGGTGAGCAAAAAGGTGAAAAACTTGGACTATGCTAAAAATGTGGATTCTCATTTAATTTAGGTCAATTAAACGTATAAGAATTAAGAGTCTAAGTTAAAAAGGTTTCAGTACCACGTAGGTTAATAGTTTAGAAAGACTGATAAAAAAGTACACATTTAGACTGTCAACTTTTACTGCTCTGTCATATAAAATAAAATAAATAAAAAAAATATCTTAATTAATTATCATTATGAAGCATTCACAGAAAACATTAAAGTCCAAACTTCAACAACGCCACAACGCGTTTACCTTACACTAATCCTCGTAGATTTCCACTAAAGCCTGCTTTTAACGGATTACATGAAGGGTAATTACTGGATATTTCAGTTACCTACATGAAAATATTATACCCCAGGCTAAAATGTTTCCAGGATTCAGGGAATGTAGGATACAAAGAAGTTCAGAAATGATTTAAAAGCTTTTTTGAACATCATTTTCCAAATTCATTTATCGCTTCCATTTCTGTGCTACCTATTTGTAATTCTGATGAGAAGCAAATAGTGAATTTTTAATGTAATATTACTTGATAATACTTTTCCAATATCCTCACAATGATAGACGGTTTTACTGAGTCAGTCGGAATTTATTGGAGCATGCATTGATATGAGAGATTCAGAGCAGAGCAATATTAAATCGCTTGAGTCAGATGAAGTTATAACGTATCTAAGTGCTTTTATTACGTAGGATAATAAAATAGTTTGTTTTACAGATGAAAAAGTTTATTAAACTTAATTTTTTAGTAAATTCCCAACTGTAATATTTTAGAATTACGTCTTTAGACTACAAGTCGCTTAATTGTTCCATAAAGAGGACATATCTTATAATAATACTGCACGGTTGGCGAGGTGGTTGGGCAACTGGCTACCGCGCAACGTGTCGCGAGTTCGATTCCCGCAAGGAACAACTCTTTTTATGATCCACAAATTGTTGTTCCGGGTCTGGGTGTCATATGTATGTGAACTTGTATGTTTTTAAATGCACCTACGACACAGGAGAAAATCCAAGTGCCCCACACTTGGATTTTCTCGGCAACGTTTTATAAAAAAATCAAATTCTTTGATGTTAATAAAATTCGAAGTCAATAACCTCAACAGTCGAAGCCTTGATTACTTAAAAGAACCGCAGAAATATGTATTAGCATCGCACTGGTTACTCCATTGCTAATTCCAAAAAAAATGATTTGAAAAATGAACACCACAAAAAAAGGTACCATCAACTGATCAAATCGACCCTTATAATCTGCAGCTTGTTTTCCCATCAAACAACATAAATAAAATTGATCACAAATGTAATAACAACAGCCATTAACAAATGACGTTCACATCAGTCGAAGCCAATTTTATCGCACTTAGGATCTCCATGCCTTTACCACGACCTGTGACCTTCCTAAGGTTAGTCGTGTAAATTCGTATTTGTTCGGCAACCTTCGGCATTAATTGTCCAAGCTCGTCTATAGTTCGTGGTACTATTTGTTTATTTGAAGGGTCGTTCTGAGAAAATTATTTAATGACCGTTGTTTTTCATATTCGTAGAATGAACTGATGTCGCCTAGGTATTGATTGCGAGTTCATTTTCTGCGTAGAATCGTATGTTCAAGGAAGAATTTATATTAAAATCGTCCATAGAATTTTAATTTCCATTTGGATTGTTTTCTTTAATGGCTGTACCGGAAAATACAGATGCATAATTTAATAAATCTCTAGGAATTTGTATCAGACTTAATTATTTTTAAACATTGCCCCATATTAGTATTTTCTCCTGTGTCGTGGGTACGTTTTCAAACATACAAGTTTACATACATATTACATACACATCCGGAACAACTATTAGTGGATAACACAAAGAGTTGCTCCGTGCGGGAATCAAAACGGCGACACGTTGCGTGGCTAGTTGTCCAGTTACCGCACCAACAGTACCATGAATGAATTTTATCATTCATCTCATTATCTTCATTTAATTTCTATTCCATTATTTGCAACTATTATAAATTATTTGCTTCGAACACAAACTGGAATTGTACGCCTAATTAACATATTAGCATCTATAAAGTATTTAACATCAATTCATTACTATAGTTCCCTCGTTGTGTATAATTTCACCAGTTTCTACTTCAGTACTAATTTTATCGATTTTACTAATGCGAAGTGATGATGGTCCATTATTGTCGGACCTCTTGTTATTTACGATCTGTATATCATTAAAGTCCATTTTGTGTTGGAGTTGTCTATCATATATACGTCTAGTTTTGATGGTACATTCGAATAACGGTAGTACAATATGAACATCGAATTATATTTTATGAATACTGTTTTATAATGATTGTGGTAGTTCATTTGGTTTGTACCTAATAATTTTATGATGTACACGTGTAGGTTTTATTTATTGTCTGTGTCAATAATTACATTTTTTTCTAACAGTGGTCATTAATAAGAGTAACAGTTTTGTCATTTCTTCCATATTGTTCGTGTATAATTGTATACACCTTCTAAAACCTAAAATACTTAGATAAACTCAGTTTAATGTAAACAGTCAAAAATTTATCCATGGAATAAACAAAACAAAAATCTTATCACTTCTATTTTCTATCCTCTATTAACAACACGAAGGCTATAATTGACGTTGACACCTAAATTCGAACCGCTGACTGATACAAACAAAACCCATTTATATTCGATTCTGCCCATACTTAACCTATAAATATATTGATTCTACCCACAATTTCATTGGGTGCTCAATAATTCACCAACTAATACAACGGCATATCAATGTATCCATTTATCCTGTAAGCTCCATAGTCTGTACATTTTGATCCAACTAAGAGGTCTAGTTATATTGGTTTATAATGATGCTTACTCCTGATATTTTATTGATTTCACATGTACACAGATTGATGCATGATTGTTTGTTCAACATTGAATTCCATTTGGCTGTTACCAATTTGAATTAGTACGATTTTACTAACATTTTTTTAATTTGCGGTTCATGAATGACTGAAGCCTCTAATTAGTTTAATTTATTGAAGGTCTCGAAAATGTAATAGAAAGCAAATAGATTTGTAGTTGTTGATAAAGTCAACGATGATCGAAATATTAGAATCAATCGGCCTAGTTCTGATGTTACCTAATAACGAGATTCTGCCGGCGCGGCGGATAATGTTAAACATTCCAACGAACGCCCAACGCTCGGAGAATTTCAAGCCTTCGCTCAAAAGCGCGCATAACTTGGTACATTACTTAATCAGGGCCTAAGTAACCCTGAATATATTTTGTACTCAATGTCTAATAACACTAAGTGTTCTCACAATCAAGCTCTGAAAAACCTTTGTGTAATATTTTTGGGATTTTCGTTTTAATAAATAAATAAGCCAACCTCTATGCTAGCCGCCCTTAGCTACGGATCAACGATTTTCATTTAACAAATATTATTTTTGTGAAACTTCGGCTATTGCTTTTTCAAGACCGCCTCGTTGAATAACTTTGAACTAATTTGAAAAGCCAACATTAAGAATTACGATAGAAGTTAAATAAATAAAATTGTAAAAAGTATTTTCATTTCTGTGTTCAGTATTTCTGAAAAGGTAAATATTGTTTTTGACCTATCGGAAAATTTGATTGAAGTCGATACAATGTTATCTTTTTGTTTCACAGATTTTGCCGAAGTGGGAAGCGGTGAAGACGGGGACGATATCTTTCAAGTTTCGTACAAACGAACCAAATGGACTGGTTCTCTTCAATATGGGCGCCAAGCCACCAAGGGTAGGTTGCACGGTAAGGGGTGGAGCTTTTGGGGTTAGACCAATCACTTAAGAGATTACTATCATCATCATTGAGAAGTCAGTCACGATCATGATCATCGAGGAGACGCTTTGTGGGGTATCGCATTTATTGTCGACTGTTATGTCCTGCTGACTGAGATCTTGTTCCTTATTCAAATTCAAGATTATTATTATAATGAAATTGCTATTCAAGTATTTCAGTTATTTCGATTAGTTTGATCCCATTGTATTTATTCAAATTTATCCCATTTTAGGCTTACACGTTCCAGAAAACAGAGTTCAATTTTAGTTAAATTAAAATGTGGTTAGCTTTATATTCCCTTCCTATAACTTTTGATCGAAATAGTTTCTAAGCCCAACAAGGACATCAAACTCATGAATGTCAAAAAGTTAAATTTCAAACAGTATTTAAATCAAATAACTGACTTGCGAGACCCCACCGACCTCAATGGATACGCAAATCTCTAAATTTAATAATGGCGACCAAAATTCATGATGGAGAATTAAGAAGTCCCTTTTATTGAATCGTTCTATGTAATATGGACTGACGACTTATAATAGAAATTTGATTAAATCAGTGAAAATGTTTAATTAAATGAAATCATCGGTATCCATTGAGGTGCTGCATGGTAGGACCAAGTTGAAGAGATAAAGAAAATAAAAACACAGATATAGGGGAATTTGTGTATGGTACCTTATAAAGTTTCACCCACTTTGATGATGTGATTTTTTATGTTTATCTGTCTGTAACCTGGTACGCACTGTAGTATCCAAAGCACAAATTGACTCCCCAGCACAACACGAAATGCTTCTACAAGTAACAGTTTTGGACGATCCAAAAAATATATTTATTTTTCAATTGGTGTTCGAATTTTTGGTTGACGCTAGGTAAAGTCCTGGGACCAACGGACGTACAGACGTTTGTAGTAAGGGCTTTATTAATACCTACACAAATTCGCACCATTTCGTCCGTAGAACCACTTTTGATTTGAATAGCTTTCTACCTTGAGCGAAATAATCTTGATTAGATACAATTTGAATTAATTTTGCTTGTCTTTCTAACTGGATATTTTCAATAACTCTACATTGAATATTAACTAAGTTAGTGCGGGATAGTTGGTACAAATTTAGTTGGATTTGCATGTCTGGTCCCGTGTATTAGTATTCAAGTAGTTTGCGACTGGTTTGCATGTATTACGTGCAGTAACCGTTTTTTATTTCTATTAGTATTAGAGACGTTTTTATTGATTTCTGTTGTTATAACGATATTTGTTATTTGATAAGGATTTGCCTGGCTTTTTTGTATTCTACTCACGTTTTCTCTTTATTCAATCGTTTAGTATTGAATTCAGTTTTAGTATTGTATTTGTGTATTTTATTTTCATAATTACATATTCATGTAGTATATCATTATTGTAGTTTAGTATAATACAGTATATTAGTATACTTATGATAATTGTTATCTAAGTATTATTAGCAAGTAAGTGTATTGTATTTTAATCTGTGTTTAATTAATATTTACGGTTGTGTAAACGAATAATGCACTTTGAATTACTTCTTTATTATTAGAACATTAATTCAGATATGAAAGCCCACTAAGAAACATTTACTTAGGTATGATTTTTATGTGTTTTGTGACTATTGTATATTACAATGGCTTTTGTATTGTACACGTCAACAGAAACTATAATATCGATGTCGTCTTATTGTGAACGCACTTCCTTCACATCGATGTTGTGATTTGTTGTCTACTCAACATTTTCTAATTTTCCAAAATTCTATATATCATTACCATCACCATTATTGCAGGCTGATCTCTTCGCTGTGGAAATCCTCAACGGTTACATATACGTGCATATAGACCTTGGTTCTGGTGGAGTGAGGGTCAGGGCATCCAGGAGAAGAGTTGATGACTCTCATTGGCATGACTTCCTTCTAAGGAGAAGTGGTAGAGATGGAAGAGTTACTGTGGATGGGGCTAACGCTGAATTTAAGACGCCTGGTAAGATTCTCACTTGGTCATTAGACTTGGTTACTTATTGTAATAATAAATCTTTTAAGCCCTTTGACATACACGTGTTCAATGTAACTCCAATGGTCGACACGTGGATAAAAGTAGAGCAAGGACTAAGTCAATTGTCAGTAATAACATTATTAATAATAGTTTTTATAAGATTTGAAGAGAGACAGGGGTATTTTCACTAAAACGTATATATACGTGTGACACCTTGGAATGAGCAAATAGCTTCACTTAAATTTTTCTTGACGATTTAAAGTGCCTTTCATGTCTAATTGAAATAAATGATTTTGACTTTGACCTTGACTCCAACTTTGACTATATGACTAAATGTACGCATGAGGATGAAGTAAAATAAGCATATGGTTGATTGTTATTCTATGTAAAAGCTTTTATATTAATAAGTTGATGAATAAGTAATATATTGAGATTATCGTATAGAAATCACTCCATTTCATTCTATTAATAATCTTGACGAACAATAATCATTACCGTCATAATACATTATAATGACGTCACGACTCAAATCAATTTGACACCCAACTCGCTACAACATGCTATCCTTGCCTATGTCAGACGCCATTACAATTTTATCTCACGTTAATAACTCCAACGTAATTGCCATGGAGTGGAGTCAATTTATGCACGTCATGAAAATTAATACTCGATAAAGCATTGTCAATTAATTTCACATATACTTTAGTACATAATTAGAGCTATGTGAATAATTGATTAGGAATAGGATTATCTATTGTATATGATAATGTAGTCCGATGTAATAATTATGGATGAGGTAATTCTGAGATGTGATCTCATGGGGACGGTTTAGAGAAAATTGTGTACTAAAATGAATATATGAGGCCAGAAGATAAATTAAACTGGTTTATGAAATATTGAGATTAAATGTAATGATAAGTTTGATAGCATAAATAAGTTAGCAGCAAGCTTGATTTTCCAAACTAAGTTTTCTATTTCAGAAAGTTAATAATATAGGTACTGAGTAAATTGGACTTATTCCGTAGGGATTTTGTAGTTCTTTCTTATGATTTATTGTATGACTGATTAAAAGATTAAAAAACACAGTCTGATTTTTGAAACAAATATAAGCAAGATATGTTTTTATAATAAATATCGTGAGACATACTAAATTAACGAAAATCGCGGGTTACTCACGTGAATACGCGTGCGCGGTCAGTAAGCTGCGCGACGTCGCTGCGACCGCGCACGCTGCTCATGAGGAAGAACCCCTTTGTGGTTCGAAACTAGTAGAGCTTTTCTCAGTATATTCACGTGAGTAACCAGCGATTTTTACTTAACACCAACCTTCCAAATGATTTCAGGAGAATCAAACCAATTAGAATTGGACGGACCGCTATTTGTTGGTGGCCTTGGCTCAGAGTACTCGGCATCAAGAACACCGCCAGCGTTATGGACAGCAGCCTTGAGGCAAGGGTTCGTGGGCTGCATCCGAGACCTGGTGCTAAATGGAAAACCTCAGGATTTGACTGCATATGCCCGACAACAGGATTCTGGTAAGCTTCTTTTTTATGGCATAAGCCGGTAAACGAGCACACGAATCACCTGATAGTAAGCAATCGGCGTCGCCCATGGACACCTGGAATACTAGAAACATTACAAGTGCGTTACCGGCCTTTTGGGGATTAGGAGTTTGAGGATTGTGGGGGATTCGGGGATTGGGGAGATTGGGGAAGGGGGGAGGGTAGCTGGGCCTCCGGTATCCTCATTAGCACGACCAAACACAACGCAAGCATTGCTTCACGTCGGTTTTCTGTGAGGCCGTGGTATTACTCGGGTCGAGTCGGCCCATTCGCCGACTCGACCCGAAGCATGACTCTCCCAGGCTAAAGGGGATAAATAGAAATAAGGGAATAGAGGAAATGGTCTTGGCATACGAAGGATATTTTAAGAAAGGTTTCTAAAGATTAACTATATTATGTAATTGATTAATTAACGACTTAACAAATGATTGGTAACTATCACTCAGAGTGAATATAATAATTTAATAAAATTGTCTCTAAACTGTCATTTTATTAAAGTTTGGTATTTTGCACATAAAGTCAAAAACATTTATTTATAAATTGGTTTTTATCTTCCACAGCATCAGTACGGCCAGCATGTCATGTTCTGATGAAACAATGCGTCAGCTCACCGTGCCAGCATGGAGCTCCCTGCTCCGAGGGCTGGAACCGACCTCTTTGTGACTGTTCCATGACTAGCTATGGAGGACCTACTTGTGGACGGGGTAGGTGTTTGAACAGTTTTTGTTACTTATTATAGATAGACCTGTACTTTAACGTACGTTACTTATTATTACTACCTCTATTGTCGAACATCTTTCGGTCTACTGTTGGATATATTTCAGTGAATGGGCGAGGGTATTGCGATAAAAAGGGGTGGGACGTTGTGGTTATGAAAAGATGCCGATTAACGACTTAATGCAGCTAGATGTGGCAAATAAGTATAGTCTTGCAGTAATAGTTGATCGCATCGCATTGCGCAACCTTATTACCTCTTATCCACTTCACCATTGTACTACCAGACAAACGGCAGAGCGTCACCCTTATATGGTGGACTTTCTACCCTCTCAAGTTTCATTGTGCGAACTGCTAAAGAATAGAATTCCTTGTCGGAATCTGTGTTTCTCGACAAATACACCGTGGGTGTCTTGAGTTGTATTTGTACAACCTGTTCACCATCAGTCACCATCACTATTTGTGTTCCATCGTCGGCCACATCATCGTGCATTGCTTACCGCCAAACGATGATGACCAAACGTCAACCTATCAAGTATAAAAACAAACATCAGACACTATTCCCATAACCCAATAATATAATTTTGGATTGACACGGCCATGAAACTGATGACCTAAAGCTTAACAATAGCATTTACAATCTCTGGGTTAACGAAGCAGTCAGTAATGCAATAGTAAATGTTATAGGAGAAAAAGCAAACGGTATACAAGGTGTAGTTTTAAAACCGTAGCATTTCTCGGGGGCATGTCACAGACGTAATAAAGGTTCAATGTAAGAGAAAGTTTCGGGGCAATAGTTAAAAATACGGCTATAATAAATCGTTTAAGTTGGACAGTATTTCAGAATAAGCGACAGCAATGCTTCTTATTGGAGTTAATGGATTAATGGAATTAGGAATAATATCAATTACGTGTTTGTGTGTGTTAAGCCGCGTTATAAAACTAGTTAAAAGACGTATAGTTCGCACTTATGGATTTCCGTAATTTACAGAAAAATGAAAAATATTTACCTACAATTAATTTTATTGATTCGTACTGAAAATCGATAGTCGAGTTACGTCCTAGAAAATGACGCGGCTTTAAAACAACTCCTTGTATATCAACACGTAATAAAACCTTTTTTTCACAATTTTCCAGAAACACCAACAATCTTCCTGAATGGCAGCCAGCACCTCACTGCAGCGTTAGGACCTGAACATATCACGCAAACTGAGGAACTGTTGCTTCGGTTCCGAACCAACAGAGCTGGACTTCTACTCCGGACGGCTTCTGAACATTCTGCTGATAGGATCGAACTGGCTGTGGCTGCTGGGAGAGTTAGAGCCAGTGTCAGACTCGGGGATAGGGAAAAGGTTCGTAAAGATATTGTTGTCAATGATTATGTATTCGAAACAAGGGTTGGGCATTGATAGTAGTAGTAAGACTGCACGGTTAGTGCGGTGGCTGGGCAACCAGCTGCCGTGCAACGTGTCGCGGGTTGGATCCCGCACGGAAAAACACTTTGTGTGATCCACAAATTGTTTGTTTCGGGTCTGGGTGTCATGTGTATGTGAACTCGTATGTTTGTAAACGCACCCACGACACAGGAGATAATCCTGGTGTGGGGCAACGTTTTTAAAAAGAAAGAAAGAAAGAAAGGAAGTAGTATCTTGATGCGTTTAGCAATAAAAAATACTCAAAACTTTTAAATTAGAATCATGTAGCTACTAGATCACTAACTGATAAGCTTAAAAAATCAAGTAAAGAAATATCGATGAGAATCTATGCTTACATCACATTAATTTTAAAAACCCTTCATTACGTTTAGCAGCGCAACGTATATTGATGCAAATCAATATTAAAGTATGTCTCTCTGTTTCCAGAACCTTCTAGCAGGAACAAACGTAGCAGACGACACTTGGCATACGGTGAGGTTCTCCCGCCGCGCGTCCAACCTCAAGCTGCAGGTGGACGGGGCGCAGCCCGTGCGCGGTATGTTATGTACGTATGCACGGGGCACCACCCGCACACCTTTTGTTTTGACCCCTAAGTAGACGACTACAAGGTTGGTTTTGCTTTGGCTGCGTTGGTGAAACTTGTGGAGATTTCAAAGCAAATCAATGCTTATTTGAAACAGTACACACATACATGACAGAGACATTGTATTTATATCTAACTCTTATACCAAATAGATCTTGAATTGTAAAAAGAGATAAGTTAAGAAAGAATTGAAAAAATCATAAAATAAAAATCAATCTCATATTATAATGTGGCTGATGATATTTTTGAATAAAATGTAGAAATAACGTCTTCATAACTTTTTTTCAGTATCAGAGTTTCTGGAACACGTAAACAAACTGTTATTTTATTAATATTTCTGAGAGTTAAGATAAAGAGATTAAGCTTTTCTTGAAAAATGTGTAATTTTCATTAAAATTTCACATAATATGTACGTTTAATCAATGACCCATTAACATCTGTATCTAATACAAATACAAAATATTCACATGAAACAAAAAATGAACATTAAAATAATAATTGCTGTTATTTTCTTAAAAGAATAAAATAATAGTCCCAACGCAGTCAAATCAAATATAGAACTTAAGAACAAATTTGAATTAGCTTGGTTCAGTCCAAGCGAATTCAAATTTTGACACTTTTCAAACTCTTCAGGGAAGTGTATATCTGTTAGACGTCCTATTAGAGTGTAGTTAGCTGCTTATTTTACGTTGTTTCATAGCTGGCACTGTGTATCACCTTTCTGTTGGTCGCTATTGTTTCTTACTTCATTTATATTCATTTCTTCTAGTAGTGTCCTTTGTGAATGTGCTGATGTAGTTAATAGAGCTGGTAAACGTTGTTCAACTTTAACTTCATTCTAATCTCCACCTTTAACATGTTTATTAAGGTCTATAATGGTTTTTGGTCCTTTGAGACGAACAAAAGTTTGAGGAACGTTTACAAATATCTGTGTTAAAATAATGTTTCAAAATTGTTTGTTGGATGACTCGGTGAGTACATTACGTTATGAGATACTTTATTGAATATTTTCCACTAAATGATCTTTGAACAAGTATCTGATGACTGTTGGCTCATCCATAAGTGTTTGAGAACGTATGTAGCAGTTAATGACATGTGTGTCGCAATTGAATGATTGAAATGTAGTAGGACAACGCTGATGACTTCTGCTAGTTTATTTGCATCTAGATGATCAATCTGTGTTTCAGTAAAAAAGAGTTTCTAACAATGTTGTCGCTATGCATCTTCTAGATATTGACCGTCTGTCTGGCTCATTAACATCTCTCTAAGCTTGTCTATCACGTAACAGCAGAACTGAAATGTATATAACTTCAAAATGGCTGCTAATAAAAGTTCTATGAGAATTTACTTTGCTAATTTATTTTTCGTTTACAGTCAATGTTGTGGTTAGGTGTGTTGCATTTGTTTCATCATCATGATACTAAAACATAAGTTGGTTTTACAGCTGAGACGATTTTAGGAAAAGCGTCAACGTTAGAGATATCAACATTACATTTAGGAGGACTTTTCCACCCTGAAGAAGAAATTCAGATGACATCAACTTTGCCAAACTTTGTTGGCTACCTGCAGAAGTTTGTTTTTAACGGGATCAGATACATTGATATGGCGAAAACACTTGGAGTCGGAACTAATGAAGAGACAAACAATATTTATGATACATCGAATTTAATTTTTACTGGCAAGTTCGTCAAGCCTGATTCGCTGAATGTGTACAAATCTGTGACATTTAAATCTAAACACACGTACGTTGGGTTGCCACTCTTGAAGGCCTATGCAAATACTTATTTGGACTTTTACTTCCGAACTACGGAGATGGATGGTTTGCTTTTCTACAATGGAGGCAAAAAGCAAGATTTTATCGCAGTCGAGTTGGTAAACGGCCATATACATTGTGTATTCAATTTGGGAGATGGAGTAGTAACTATGAAGGACAAGTTGAAGAATTTCTTGAATGATAACCGATGGCACACGGTGTCAGTACGAAGACCGACACCAAAGATCCATACGTTGCAAGTTGATGACGACTTAGAAATGCATACTACAAGTAAGTTCATTAATCGTTTAAGTTTTATACTTATATTACAGTAAATTTTGTTTAAACCAAATTGTTATTGATCTTAAATAGGAATACTGTCATGGATATTGAGTATAGGACTGATTTTTGACTGACTTTGACCCTCATTGCAGAAAGTCTTAATCTTTAGTATCCCATTTCATGTAAACTAATTGTTTTCTAGGTTCAAACTTAATGCTTGAACTAGACAGCGTGCTATACGTGGGAGGAGTACCAAAGGATATGTATACAGCTTTGCCAGTGGGAGTGCTATCCAGACAAGGGTTTGAAGGATGCATGTCCAGTCTGGATCTACCTGGAGAGTCACCGTCGTTGATGGAGGACGCTGTTGTTCCCAGTTCTTCTTTAGGATCAGGATGTGAAGGTAATTAAAATTAAAGTTTAGGACTCCGTGCTACTACTGAGATTTTTTTTAAATGCCTAGTAATACTTTGTCCGACCCGGGAATCGAATCTGGAAATGTGCCCGGTATATGGCAATAGGCTCACCCCCTATTACATGGGACTCATAACATAAATAGTGAAAAGTGGGTGTTACTTCTGTCTACACCTCTGCCTATCCCTTCGGGGAAAAAGGCGTGATTGATGTGAATAAAAGAATTAGAAATGAGAAAAAAGAAGACATAACACCTAATTGAACTTAATACTTAAGTAGGTACTTAAAATAACTTCAAATTCCCGACGATACTGCTAATATGCATGAATCCTTTAAGTTTTTATTTTGTGATTGGAGTTACAGTGGTGATCGTTTTTTATTTGCAGGTCCAACAAAATGTACTCACAATGCGTGTGCGAACAAAGGTGTCTGTGTGCAACAATGGAACACTTACGTTTGCGATTGTGACTTGACATCTTTTACTGGACCCACGTGTTATGATGGTAAGAAAATTCGGCTAGTTAATCACCATAATGCTAATCATATATATAATGGGCCTGCGGACGGCCAGCATGGGTGGCTCCCCGTCCGACCAGAAACAGACCCGAGCGTACGGCGCGTCGCGTTCCGCGCGCGCCTCAAAGAGCCATCAGACCACCACAGATGGGGCTCAATAGGGCCGATGCCGATTCGGAGTCGTGGTTTTTAGTCAGTAAGAGTCTGACACTCCCTTCCGCCTCACCCAGGCGGGAGCAGTTATTCGATGATTTTCACACCTTAAAAAAAAATCATATATATAATAGCGTTATATTGTTCACATACGACTTTAAACCAAAATAAAAACTCTCAATATCTTTATTCTAGAATCTGTGGCATACGAATTCGGTCCAGGCCGAGGGATCATCACCTATACTTTCCCAACTGACTCTGTAGCCGACACGGAGACCGACAAGGTAGCTCTAGGCTTCGTCACCAGCAAGGCTGATGCTGTACTGCTGAGGATCGAGTCTTCTAATACACAGGATTACATGCAGATGGAGATTGTGAGTACCGTGGTCGGGAGATTTCGTTTGTTTGTGCTATTACGATAAAGGATATAAAGAAGTATTCGTCTATTTTTATTTTCCTATATAATCTAGCAAATATTTCTGCTATGCTTCCGATATTTGAAATCATTTTGTTACATATGAAACCGACATGTCCCTTATTTTTTTATGGGATAAGCCGGTAAACGAGCAGACTGATGACCTGATGGTAAGCATTCGGCGTCGCCCATGGCCACCTGGAACTCCTCCGGTCAGGCCGGCTCATTCGTGCCGAAGCAATGCTCCCCCACACTTCATAATTGCCGAAAAATATCAAGTTCTTAGTAACTTTATTAATCTGTCCCAATTCGCAAATAATAATAAAAAGGAAGATTTTAGGGTAATTTATGTTGTCTGTGTTACATGTATGAACATTACTAATTAGTAAGTAGTGGCCCCCTCACTATAATGTGTTATATAAGGTAGAACACTATTCACTAACGTCGCTGTCTACCTGTCATAGTCTAAGTGTGTGTACACGTCGTGCACCCTGCACATTATTGTAATAAATCCAAGTATAATAAATCCGTCTACAATTTATTAATCAACCAACATAACAGTCTGTACATCGATGTAAATATTTCACTATTTCTGTTACCTTCAGATACGAGGCAATCTTTTCATGGTTTACAACGTGGGCGGTGGTGACCATCCACTGGGTGATGAGACTGCCAGGGTCGATGATGGAGCGTACCACGTGGCTCGGTTCACAAGGAATGGTAGCCGAGCTTCACTGCAGTTGGATAACTATGCTGTTATTATAAGACATCCTCAAGGTATGTTAGCCTTGTCGAGAGATAAATATTAAACATATCATGCAAAGATAGTGTCAATCAATATTTTTAGTCGACTTGGTTGTTGATTTATTACGTTACCTCAAAATCTATTGACACAAAATATGAGGCACTCCCGATTTAATATTAACGATGGTACGACTTTAGACGAATATTAAAGAACTATAATTCAATGTTGCAGGTGGCCAACAATCTACAATCTTCAACGGTATGTCAACGATCGCCGTGGGCGGCGGGGCTGGTGGGGCTCGTAGCTTCAGTGGAGTCATCGCTGGGGCCGTCGTCGATGGAGTCAGGCTGCTGGACCTGGCGGCGGCAGGGGACCCCGCCGTGTCAGTGCGAGGAGACGCAAGGAGAGCTCATACACCGCTGGATAGAGATATTAATCGGATGCAGCAGGTAAACTTGGGCTTTAGCTCGAGTGAATGTTTGATGCAAATGAGAGAAGTGATTCATATATTTTTTAAGAAAATTATTAGAAAATCGATTAAACGCAAGCATGACAGTAGAGTTCAAAGCTAAGGTTGGAATTTAAAAGTATTATGACTGAATGAGGTATAATAATATGCAAGAAGAATGAATGAAGTAGAAGTGTTATACCTACATAACAAAAACATTTCACGTTGTAGACACCACCATCAGGGTATGGTGGTCCAGGAGTACTAGACGAGCTAGTATACTCAGGCGCTGGCTCCGGCTGTAGAGATGATGATGAAGACGCCTGCGTGCTGCCTGACGCAGGGTCTGGAGATGATCTCATCACTCCTGTATATGTTCCTTCTACTAGGCGACCACCGTCAAGGCTACATAAGGTATGATAATGATTTTGGAACCTTATACTCCATTTAAAGTGGCAATATTAACTTGATAATTAATACTAGTAGTTTCATCTGTAAATTATAGCGTATTTTAAATAGAGAAGGTGAAAATATTTACGATTGGTTTATTAAATAAACCACCTTCTAAGGCAACGATAAATAGAAAACAAAATAATTTTATCAAATTATAAAACACTTCGTAAATTGTAGAAGCATGGAATGTTAAACAATTTCTATTATTTACAGGGTGATACAAGTGGGAAGTTGATGAAACCGTGTGATGACGAAGATTGTATAGAAGGATCTGGCTCTAGTGTTGATGAAATCACTGAACCTGACCATCCGATGACTACGTAAGTATTAACATATCATGTACTAGCGGACCCGACAGATGTTGTCCTGTAATAATAGGTATAGACAAATAACCTAGAAACCGACTGCAGCGCCATCTGCCGGGCTGATTTGTGAATCTAAACCATTCACAGATCCCCTTGAACACACACAAAATATTTCATCAAAATCGGTCCAGTCGTTTCAGAGAAGTTCAGTGACATACACACTCACAGAAGAATTATATATATAAAGACTAGCGGACCCAATAGACGTTGTCCTGCATATCCACTTGAATGTACAAACAAAAATTCATTCAAATTAGTTCCGCTGTTTAGGATAAATAACCTAAAAATCGACTGCAGCGCCATCTGCCGAGCTGATTTGTGAATCTAAACCATTCCCAGATCCCCTTGAACACACACAAAAAAAATTATCAAAATCGGTTCAGTCGTTTGAGAGAAGTGACATACACACTCATAGAAGAATTATATATATAAAGATTAGGTTATAAAAAAATCACGAATTTTGCGGTTCATTTTTCCGTTTGCGGAAAGGATTGTTTACGTTGTAAATTAAATTGTGTACTTCGTAGTTATTATAAATTTTAGTTTTATGGGGACTTCCTTCGAATTTAATATTTTTTGGATTAAAATTATAACACATGGGTCTTTTATTTTCAATCTAATATCAATCAAAACCTAACGTGTGACATGTCACCCCACAGGTCGGGTGCCAGCAGTACGCACAGCATGACGTCCCCGACGGCCCCCGTGCTGTCCACGGCCCGCGACGAGAAGCCCCTGGAAGGGTCCACGGCCGGCGACACGCACACCGCCACGAGCAGCCCGCCCGGCCTGCCGCCCACTTTACCAGACCACGACAACATGCACGCCGGGACACTGGACACTGCCACCCCGCCGGAAAGGAGAACTACACCTACTGACGGTAATGGGGAATTTATTGTATTACAATCTTTTTGTTATAATATGAAACTGTAATGAAATGGAAAACATGTGGATGTATATAATACTTAATTTCATTATATAGATCAAGCACGAATAACTATCGCATTCGTACCGTACCAGTATTGAGCGAGTTAAGCGTTCTGATTGGTGGGTTCACTTGAGCCAGCCAATCAGAGCGCCGAACGCGCTCGATACTATTATGTTACAAATGCGATAATTATTCGTGCTTGGCACTCTGGTCTATATGCCCTTCTTGGATTACAAACTTAAAGAAGATGTGAAGCTTTACATTATTTTTTGAATTCAAACTTTGTAATTGAGTTATCACAATGAACCTAGAAAGGTCTTTTGAGCTATTTCTAATCATTCTTTTATATTTTCAACAGAACATTCACACACTCACACTAGTTATCACTTCACACCCACACTAACAGGTAAACACATACCAGACGAACCAACCCACACTACAGAAGAAGACACCAACCACATACCAGAATATGAAGACCGGCGCGAGAACGAGATAGAAGCACGAACACCTACTTATGAGACTGAGAGTGAGCAGGACAGAATACCAGGGAGGGTTCACCCTGAATATAATGGGTATGATGTGACACCAAAATGGTATCACCCGAAAACAACTGACAATCGGGTTGTACCACCAGAGTCGGAGTTTTTCGCGACTATTGTCGGTGAGTATGAATAATCCCATCAACCAATCAGTGTCAGTACCAGAATATACTTTGAATTTGGAATGCAATTTGTCTTAGAGGGCTGTTTATGTGGCAATGTTTTTAGGTAGATACGTGATAAATAATTCATTATTTTATCCGTCTTCAAGGACAGTTATAGTTCAATTAAAATTTTGACGAAAAAGCTCAAACTACGAGTTACGACCGATATCTCGATATTGTCAACTGTGAACTAAAGTTATTAGAATAAAAATAATCTCTAATTTTCCAGGTATTGTGGCGTCGGTGCTGATAGCAATAATATTGATAGTGATCATAGTGCTCAAGTACATCGTGTTTAAGTTCGACCCCTCGTACAAGGTGACAGAGGACAAGAACTACCAGCAAGGAGCCAGTGCAGCGCTTTTGGGCAATCAGGTAATATATCATTTAGTTTACTTAAGATTTGAATGTTAAACGTATATCAATAAAAGTGATAATATTTTTTACTTTATAGTTGACCGTTTGCGTATTCTTTTTTTTTCTTTTAAAAAACGTTGCCCTACACTTGGATTATCTCCTGTGTCGTGAGTGCGTTTACAAACATACAAGTTCACATACACATGACACCCAGATCCGAAACAATAATTTGTGGATCACACAAAGTGTTGTTCCGTACGGGAATCGAATCCGCGGCACGTTGCATGGCAGCCGGTTGCCCAGCCACCGCACCAACCGTGCAGTCAGTTCTGTTTGAAGATATTTTTTTTGACAACACAGTTCGAAGCTACTTATAAAATGAGTGTACTGTTTAAAAACCATATTTGCTCGTCCAGCAGGCCCACTCGAGCTACCAGAGCGGAGCGTCGAGCGGTCCGCCGGGCGGCGCGGTCCGCAACCTGCAGCCGCTGCCGCTCAACCGGAACGGCGCGGCGCCCACCGCCCCGCTCGCGCCCATACCCACGCAGCCCGTCAAACGAGACGGCATCAAAGAGTGGTACGTGTAAACGTACGACTGAAAGGGACAACTATAGTTTTGTGTGTGTCGGACATATCAAGAACATAGTGAGTGGTTGTTAGACGCTTCGAATCGAACCTCGCCAGAACATTGGGCGTTAATGCTTTAAGATTATAAGACATAATGACTGATACGCAAGTGTTTTAGTATTTTGTAAATATTAATTAATAATGTTTATAGATGGGTCACTTGTGTGTACGGACGCGATTGTGTTGGCTTGTGCGAACTAGACTTTAGTCAGATTCGTAACTCCAGGAGTTAACATTGACATCAAATGTTACTTCTGTTACTGTAGATGTCATGTTCTATCGAATCTTTCTTCCGTCTAGTGTGTCCCAAGTCTTGATAGTAAAACCTAGAGAATATGGAATTGCATTTTACTATTGTATAGTTAGTTTCATTTGTTTTTGTTACTGATTTCTTATTGTTAAACCTTAGCTTTTCTGACCTGTACATTGCTATTATTCATGTATTTGCGACTTAACTTTTCTATCTACATTGCCTTTAATAGTTTAAATTAAACTAAGACTATTATATATCGATTGTAGATATTAAACTTGATTATTGTGTCATCGTTGGATAAATTAATGTCTGGTTCCTTCGTCTTCTCTTATAAATACTTCTTCGAGTAATCATGTTTTCTTTTTGAAAATATTATACTTCTCTTATCGAATTTATCCAATGATGATGTTCTGTCAAACTTTAATATCTACAACTGCGTAAGACATAAGATGACGATGCTATACTTGGAGCTGCCATCACGAAATTGAAGCATATCGTTCAATTGAAGACTACAGTACTTTTACGATTCTCAATAATCTTTCCTATATATATTAGATGTTATACAATATTTTTAAATAGGCGGGGCGTGGCGAGTAGCATAGAAAATGGAATCATAATCATCAGAGTTTAAGATCAAAATTCGCTTGGAATTAGAAATGGAAACAGGTATATTATTGTAGGATGCGTAACAAGTATGAGCTTGTAGATTTGGTATGGAATATAGATGTTCTGAGTTGTAACATATCCTCCATTTATAGTATTCTGTATTTAGTTTGGGACACCTTTATATTGATCACCAATGAGTTTTTCTTAAAACCTATTGTCAAAGTGTTTCCACCTTGTAACCATTTGTCAAGTAAATCATTGGTGATTGAATCCTTTTCTTCTTCCTTCTTATAATTTATTTGCTCAACTTATCCTCAATTAATTTGATCTCAGGCCTAATTGACTTATAGTGAGAAAGTTAATTAAAATATAAATATTCAGTCAATTTATTCAAATTACTTCATATAATGATGATATCTAAGTAATTGTTAAATGGAATGTTTACAAACGTTATTGATGGAAGAATGAAAAGATAATGGATTTTACGGAAGCGTTCGATACACTTCAGCAGGAGTATGTGATTGTGGAAGACCTAATGTGCTCATTTACATTGAAATAATAAATAAATCATCAAAATCATATAAAAACCAAAAGCTTTACGCAATAAAATAGGTAATAAATGCAATACAATAAGCAATATGTATTGGAGTGCCACAAGGACCCGATATTGGCCCAATATTATTATAAAAACAATGAATGTTTCACCATCACAATGGGCCCTTTAAATATGATAAAACTATAATAGTACGAGATCCGGCTGCAGAATCAGTGTACCCATCGAGTGTTTGCTGAAAACCAAATTTTTACACATATTCATGATTAGGAGAATTTATATCCACCAGGTTGCCTATCAAAATGTGGCCGCTAGTATTTTTAATTAAATTATTAATAATTCATAATCCGTAAGAAATTTCACTGACTTTTTTTTTCAATGAAATGTCGTCTACTTCACGGCAACATCTATAAAGACTCTGAAAAATTATGGTTGCCGTTGCGCACCTGGCCGCACCTCTTCGCAGCCAGGTATACACAGGTATGAATTTGTTACATTTATACACCCACAACGTACATTTATAATTTATATATCAAATTAAAGCAAATTTTTTTCTGTATATTATTATAACGGTTGCTTAATTAAATCTGGCCGCCAATAAGGGTTGCTGGCTAATAAATATAGTAAATATTAAAAGTAGAGTGAAAGAGAGCTAGCGCGTAACACCACTAGTCAGACGAGGATAGCGATTGCCAGCTGTCAGACGGTTTAAAGCCATTGCGCATGCTTCAGATGTTAGTGTTGTCAACGGATCAAAAAAAAATTGCTGTTTTATTTGTGCATCGAAAAATTATCAATCTCATTTAAGTGAAATAAAATTTATAAGGATGAAGGCGTGTTTCCTGTGCGACAAAAAATGCAATGTACTAGACTTTGATAATGCTTCATTCAAAAAGTGTTCTCTAATGTTATTGTTTCGTCGCAAGAAAAAATATAAATATCATGACATTTTATTAACACTTGAATCTACCGATGATTTTGGATATCATACAAAATGTTTGAAAAAAATTACAGTTTTAAAGCAAAAAGATAAAGAAGACTTCGAAAGATATCCAAAATCATCGGTAGATTCAAGTGTTAATAAAATGTCATGATATTTATATTTTTTCTTGCGACGAAACAATAACATTAGAGAACACTTTTTGAATGAAGCATTATCAAAGTCTAGTACATTGCATTTTTTGTCGCACAGGAAACACGCCTTCATCCTTATAAATTTTATTTCACTTAAATGAGATTGATAATTTTTCGATGCACAAATAAAACAGCAATTTTTTTTTGATCCGTTGACAACACTAACATCTGAAGCATGCGCAATGGCTTTAAACCGTCTGACAGCTGGCAATCGCTATCCTCGTCTGACTAGTGGTGTTACGCGCTAGCTCTCTTTCACTCTACTTTTAATATTTACTATATTTATTAGCCAGCAACCCTTATTGGCGGCCAGATTTAATTAAGCAACCGTATATAATAATATACAGAAAAAAATTTGCTTTAATTTGATATATAAATTATAAATGTACGTTGTGGGTGTATAAATGTAACAAATTCATACCTGTGTATACCTGGCTGCGAAGAGGTGCGGCCAGGTGCGCAACGGCAACCATAATTTTTCAGAGTCTTTATAGATGTTGCCGCGAAGTAGACGACATTTCATTGAAAAAAAAAGTCAGTGAAATTTCTTACGGATTATGAATTATTAATAATTTAATTAAAAATACTAGCGGCCACATTTTGATAGGCAACCTGGTGGATATAAATTCTCCTAATCATGAATATGTGTAAAAATTTGGTTTTCAGCAAACACTCGATGGGTACACTGATTCTGCAGCCGGATCTTAGACTATAAGAACAAAGTTAAACAAAGTCTATTTAATTGGCAATGTTTCTTCAGTAATTTTAAGCTGCCTTCGGACTTTTCTGACTCTCCTGAAAAATATTGCATGCGATTTCCTCTTGAAACCTAACGTATAAAAAAAGCTGCTTATATTTTTACATCTAGTGTGTATTTGTACATCCACCGTCCCGATTTCCTCTTTCCGATTAATAAAACTTGAATTAGCTTTAAAATAAGACGAAAAAAATAACATATTTATATAGATTGTTATAAAGCACAGGTTTTAGGTATTCGAAGTTGCATTTAAATTAATGTTTGAGTGTTTGGTATAAGGATATGCGATTGGGATTGGCATCTATAGCACTTGTAACTAAATCATTGTCATTATTTTCTTTCTAGAAGAAAAATAGGGTAGAATGACCATATCAGTACGGTTTTTGATTGTTTACTTTGTACGATCACTTTTGATTCGGTGTTTAATCGAATGTACTATCGCTTCCCTCCTGTCATTGAGTAGATGTCTACCAATCGCATATGTTTATTCTTCACACGCAAATGCAGCATTTATTGTAAATAGTTATTCAATATAATACTGTAAACTATAAGCGGTACTGTACGGTGTATGTCACACTCGTTTTACGGCACAAAATGTTAGTAAAAAAAACAATTTGTTTATCTGTCAATTTTAGTCGTAATGTTTAGTGTGTTAATCATTTATACCGTGACGTAATTGTATCGTAATTTATTATGTTGTTCTCTATAGACACAGTTATGAAAAGAGGAGCTAAAGATGGTAACTTATTATCGTCAATGAAAAAATTTACCACGGGAATATTATACGAAGATACTAGTCTGCGTACAGTGATTGTAAATTAGGAAAACTTAAGCAATACAAGTTTCAAAGTAAATAGATATACACATTAAAAAGCACCTACCATCTTAATAACGGTTCAGTAGAAACCAAGGAGCATTAAATTAAACGTGCTGAGGGAATAACAATGGTATAAAATACATTATTAGATGCTTAAATATTTGGAGATGATCAAGAAAGAATCTAGGAATAAATCTTCTAAACCATAATTGTGTCTATACAGAATCAGTATAAAATAATTTTAGTTCGTTACACAATGTTTAACTGATGTTGTTACTCACGATTCCGGTCGGACCAATTTTTGTTTCAATTGTAAAAGCGACAGTTTTTAAAAATAATAATACCTATATTATGTAAATTACACCGTGTTGTTGTTTTATTTTACTCTAATATTGATATTGTTTATTTATAAATTAAGGAATGTTATACATTATCAAAAAACCTGATGAAAAAGCATTTTATAAATAGTTGGCTTCTCATTTCATGAGATTTTATTAGAAACAGTTTCTTCACCAAAATGATTTTTAAGGAAATACATAAGTTATAATAAAAAAGGATAGCAGAGATATTTACAATGTTATTATATCCAATATCCACTTTTCACCTACTGTGCATGACGCCATGTCGAGTCATGTAACATGAGGTGAGTTTATTGCTCGCCACCAATGCAGATTCGCGACAATTAACTACTAAGAGTTTTCAAAAACCCCACTTGCAAATCCTCGACCAATGTACATATGTATAAATGTATCATATTTACGGCTGAATGAATAACTTCCAGACGGGGATTTTAATGAGGTTTTTTGAAAAACAGAAAAAAACTCCTATACGTAACACTAA